GCCTGTGAGGCATACAAAGATAGAGTAATGTTTTGTTATAGAAAAAAATAATGGCTTAAACTCAATGTATGCCTAGCCTCGTTATGCATTCATTCTCTTCTCTTTTATAGGCTCTTGATCCTCTTAACACGGAGAGTACAACAATCCAAATATTTACTTGATAGGTAAGTTAAGATGGAGTTGTTATCAAGGTGAGTTATGATAGCTTGTATTTCTCGGCTTTTGCTGTTGTTGGATCCTAATTCATGACTGAGCTTTCTGTGATTGGTAACTGATTTGGCACAACATAAATAAAAAATTATTATAAACAAAAAGACAAAAAATATCATTTAGGCACAATAAATTTAAGAAATTGAATCTCTTTCATCTGATTTAAACTAATTTTAATTGTATGTAACTTAACATGATCATGTACTTCTTCTTCATTTGATAATATGTACTGTATAAAACTCTTCGCTCACCGAGTTTACAACAATAATGATCAACATAATAAAATGTAGAGATGAAATTATATGAAAGATTACAACTTGGAAATAATGGATAAACAGAGAGTAAAGATATGGCGTTTCAGTGGAAATAATAATAATCTATAACAGTAACAAATGGAATTGGAACGGGCTGTTTGAGCCTATATTTAGTTTAGGCGAATGGCAGCCCTGTCCAATTTATGAAGGTAATCCGATTTCTCTCTATAGATTGATTGGGCTATAGTGATGAGGGGCTGCGGACTAGTGGGCCGTGAGAGGCAAACGGGTTCAACGTGGTAAATAAGTACTATTATAATATAGTTGGATCCAATTAAATTTCGGCAATGTTTACGGCCCCAAATCTCCTTCCACAGTTGTTTGGATTAGGCTGTTTGAATTTTAGTTATGGCTTCATATGGATGTTTTTATTTCATGGAATGTTTTGTGTGTTGTGGGATAGATGTTTCATTCTGAAAAAAAAAATAGATCTTATCTCTTTTACCAATCAGTAGCACCAATGAGATGAAATACCACAAAGCTCACTTCAGTTGATGAGTACCAATACTCAACTACCTACCCAGATAAATAAATATAACTGATAAAATTTCGTAATAGCGTACATCATTGACTATGAATCCTGATTTTTTAAAATCTTTATTTATGTCAATGTCATTGGGAGCATCAGTATGAGAAAGAAAAACGTTATCAAAGTCAGTTGTATGTGATTTTACTCATTCACATCTTATTGATCAATTTACATTAATAATACCAGAAGCTGAAATTTGGTTGACAAGTAGCATTCGTGTTAGGTGATCATCCCCAATAAATAGGACAGCCTCCACAAAGAAAATTATAAGTAGTTTTTTAGAACAAGAAGTGGGTGAAGAGAAAATAAAAAATGGGTGAAGGAGAATTGTTGGGGGCATGGGGAAGTCCGTTCAGTCGCAGAATAGAGATTGCTTTGAAACTGAAAGGCGTTGAATACGAATACATAGAACGGATCTGGTAACAAAGTGCTTTGCTTCTCCAATACAACCCCGTTCACAGTTAATTCCTGTGCTTCACAAAGGAAAGCCGATAGCAGAGTCTGATGTTATTCTTGATACATCGGTGAGACCTGGAAAAACAATCCCATCTTGCCCCAAGATCCATATGAGCGGCCATGGCACGTTTTTTTGGGTTAAGTTCATCGACGAAAAGGTAATAATATAAGGGATCATTTACCCTTTTGTTTAAATTTTCTATGTTATTGTTTATATATCCAGGAAGAAACGATACATTCTGGTTTTATTTGTGGTTTATATATGTAATAGTGCGTGCGTTCAATTGGAAAGCTTGCTGGGTTCCAGAGATATCCGAAAGGAGGCGTGGAAGAAGCATAGGGCACCTGAAACACTAGAAAATGAGCTTAAAGATAAGAAATCTTTGGAGGAGAGAAGATCGGATGGTTGATTGTTGGTAGCTTTGTAGCTTCTGGGTTGGTTGCATTCAAGAAGCTTCAGGAGTGGGATTTTTAACAGGAGAAATTCCAATATTACATAATGGAGGGGGAGTTTCTTAATTGCGATATCAAGGAGAATTTGCACAAAGAGACAAATTAATTGCTTTTTCCGAGCCGGTTTATAACCACGGAATGGTTAGATATTAATAAAGGTAACGTTACACCTTATCTTAGTATTATCGTTTATCCTTGGAGTAAAATAATGTATCATGCACAGGGGCGATTGGCTTGGTTTTTTTCTGGTTTAAAATAAATAATACAATGCTCAATTGTCTGGTTCAGTTTTTGTTTTCTGGGTGGATTTCAATTTGATGGTGTGTAAAGTAAAACTAAAATAAAATCTGGGGCAGGCCAAGCTTTGCCTAATCGGACGTGTTTGATAGCCTCCATCACATAGCATTCAAGGACTTTTCTGTTTGCTTTAAACTTAAAATAACTTCCAAGGAAATAATGAAGCTAATAGGGAGATGAAAAATTGTTTTTTTTTTTTTTTTTTTTTTTCCCCGTTTATGCATACTATTATGGCCAAAAATCATTCCCGGCCCAAATGAGAAAATGGGCCCAACAATGGGGAAAAGACTAGGCCCAATCCCTATGTGGTCCAATCCAAAACTCACCGAATCAGACCCATTTGATACGAAGTACAATCGGCCCAAGCCGTCCGAATACAAGCCTCCTAGTCCCAGTTCACTTCCTGGATTTAGGAACGAATTCAGAGCCCATGGCCACTCACAGATCACATTCCTATCCAAACATAGGTAAAGTAGCCCACTACAACTTCAACTCCTCCAAGGTCCGTATCAGAGTCATACTTGGACTCCTCTTCACGTCGGGATAATGGGACCAGAAGATTTATCCCGAGAGGGAACGGATCACCACGAGGACTCCCAATCTCACCAGGATTGGGAGACCAGACAGTCACTATTTAAATAGAGGCCAGCCCTCTCACAAGACAGATTACATTACACCTACAAACCCCAGAGTTCTAGCTTGAGAACTTCACATCAAAGCCGTAGTCACAGTCCTCGACTAGACTTCTGGTAACCTCTCTACTCCTTAGCCCTCACTAAATCAGCATTTCAGCCTTGCTGACTTGAGCATCGGAGTGGTAGATCGCTAGTGACCTCAACCTCACGGGATCAGACCCTCTTTCCATACAGGTGGATTTTTACGTCTACACGTACCTCAACTAATTCTTCGGGACCCTAAAACTAAGGGTCGAATAAGAGCTTTAATGACTACCTATATTAGCACCTAAAGAAAAACTTGAATTCAAGACCTCTTAAGTAATACACCCAAAAGTCCTTATGAAACTACTTAATCACCCAAAAAGTAATTAATGAAAAATTGTTACTGGACATTTAATAATATAATAATAAGAGATAACAACATAAATTGTTACTGAACCATGGAAGAAGCATGTGGACACCTGAGAACGCTGGAAAATGAGCTTAAAGATAACAAGTTTTTTTGGAGGAGAGAAGATCGGAGTGGTTGATATTGTCGCTAACTTCATAGGCTTCTGGGTTGGTTGCATTAAAGAGGCTTCAGGAGTGGAAATTCTTACAGAAGAGAAATTCCCAAAATTACATAAATGGAGTGGTGAGTTTGTTAATTGCAATGTTGTCAAGGAGAGTCTGCCACCAAGAGACAAATTAGTTGCATTTTTCCGATCTCATGTCTATAACCACGGAATGCAACGTTACACCTTATCTCAATATAATCAACATATTGTTCTAGTTTTTATATGGGTCGATTGGCTTTGTATGTCGCTTCACATCAAATAATACACTCTTCAATTTTATCAGTTTGTTTATGTAATTATGTTTTCGTGTGTGAGGCAAGCTAAAATAAAAATTGGGCCAGGCCTANAAATTGTTACTGAACCATGGAAGAAGCATGTGGACACCTGAGAACGCTGGAAAATGAGCTTAAAGATAACAAGTTTTTTTGGAGGAGAGAAGATCGGAGTGGTTGATATTGTCGCTAACTTCATAGGCTTCTGGGTTGGTTGCATTAAAGAGGCTTCAGGAGTGGAAATTCTTACAGAAGAGAAATTCCCAAAATTACATAAATGGAGTGGTGAGTTTGTTAATTGCAATGTTGTCAAGGAGAATCTGCCACCAAGAGACAAATTAGTTGCATTTTTCCGATCTCATGTCTATAACCACGGAATGCAACGTTACACCTTATCTCAATATAATCAACATATTGTTCTAGTTTTTATATGGGTCGATTGGCTTTGTATGTCGCTTCACATCAAATAATACACTCTTCAATTTTATCAGTTTGTTTATGTAATTATGTTTTCGTGTGTGAGGCAAGCTAAAATAAAAATTGGGCCAGGCCTAGCTTAGCTTGATTGCACCTGTTTGACAGACTGTCTCATGTCCTTATCCAGAATTAGCAAAAATGCACCAAGCTCTTTTTGATCATTCAAATAATCACAATCTAGAGACAGATAATGTCGTAAATGGGTAAAGTACTCAAATTGCTCATGAAATGTCTCATATTTGGAACTTGCTTTAGATTCTTCCTCATCGTCTTGCACACGAAAATATAAACTAAGCAGCATGTGCCATCACAAAGTTGCTTACACTCCCCAATAGTATCCTAATTCGTTTTCATCGAACACAATTGATCCTTTTGTATGAAAGAACAATAACTCTTCAGATAAATAGATTAAAAAATAACAAAATCACCCGTGATTAAGAAAAAAGAGAGAGAATTTGCACACCTCTGGACAGCAGTCACATAACAGAAGATTCTAGTTTCAGATCTTTCATTCAACCATGTCTGACGCATCTACTCAGTTTTAGAAAATTAACTCTTCAAATTTCGTCATAGCTTACATCATCTTTGACGTTTCCCCTTAGAATTTTTCAAATTCTTTTTAGTAAAGATGCTAGAGCGTTAAAGATTCAAAGAAAGAAATTGCAGTTAATGAAAAGTCGGTATCAAATCTGATTGGTCGACTTAATAAATACTAGTATAATGATAGTAGGTGAGAGTGAGACTTGGTTGCTAAGTAACAAACCTGATATCAGGAATAAGTAGGCGAAAGCACAAGAACAAAATCCAACATCTCTTTTTAGTCCCATTGGTGATCGAAGAAATTAAACCCTAAAAATGGTTGAAGTGAAAGTGTTTGGGGTGTGGGCAAGTCCATTTAGTCGCAGAGTAGAGATTGCTTTGAATCTGAAAGGCGTCGAATACGAATACATAGAAGAGGATATTGCCAACAAGAGTCCTTTGCTTCTCCAATACAACCCCGTTCACAAGAAAGTTCCGGTCATTCTCCACAAAGGGAAGCCGCTGGCGGAGTCTGCTGTTATTCTTGAATACATTGATGAGACCTGGAAAAGCAATCCCATCTTGCCTCAAGATCCTTTTGGGCGAGCCATGGCACGTTTCTGGGTTAAGTTCATTGATGAAAAAGTAAGTATATACAACACTTATTAGCTCGGGACTCACCCTTTTTTGTTTATCTTGAAAAAAATTGATGTAACATCGCACTAAAAAACTGGTTCTTTATTTGTGGTTTTTTTATACAGTGTAATCCGGCACTATGGAAAGCTCTCTGGAGCGAAGAGAATGACCGAAAGGAGGCTGTGGAAGAAGCATGTGAGCACCTAAAAACACTAGAAAATGAGCTTAAAGATAAGAAGTTCTTCGGAGGAGAGAATATTGGAATTGTTGATATTGCCGCCAACTTCATAGGCTTATGGGTTGGGGTCATTGAAGAAGCTTCAGGATATGCTGTGAAGTTTTTTACAGAAGAGAAATTTCCAATATTACATAAATGGAGTAATGAGTTTTTGAATTGCGATGTTGTGAAGGAAAAATTGCCAGCAAGAGAACAATTAATCGCCCTCTTTGGTGCCCGTTTCGCAGCTTCTTCGTAGAATGCGTATATCTATATATGAAACTGTTTGCTTATACTGTTACTGAATTTTGCAGTCGTTGGATTATGATGGTCAACCCCTTGACTATAATCCAAGGGCTACCAAGAAGAAGGTAACATTACCTAGTGTCATAAATAGTCGTGGTTTCTGAAATAATTTCCAGCTTGTGGAAAAAAACGTATCATGTTTATGCCGTCATTGACCCGTTGGCTTTGTTTTTGGTTTCAAATTAAATAATATAATGCTGAATATTATGATTTTGTTTTGTTTTCCTGGCTTCAATTGATAATATGTTAAGTAAACAAAAATAAATGTTGGGGCAGGCTAAGTTTAACTGGAATTTATCTTTTTGACATAGTTATCCAAATATTAGCTGAAAAATTATGTCCCAGGTCTCTTTAGTGGGTTTCTTTGTTAAAATACCTGTGTACCATCCCACAGTGACCCATAGACTAATTCTCAGTGTACTATCTTACAGTAATCCATTGTCACAAGCTTAGGTAAATCATGGTCAAAAATATTATCTTTGCATCTAACAAAAAAATCGAATTTGGGACTATAAGTTCAACACGTTTACAACTCCTTTGGTTTACCCTTACCGATGGGCTACCATGGATGGGTTATTACTATATATTTGAAAGAGCTTGAAACGAGCAATGATTCGTAAATGACCCGAAGTCCTGGCAATCGATGTTATTATTAATTTAAGGCATGAACTTTGCTTTGATACCCGGATATCATAATGGCGAATAAGCAATGTGTCTTTCTTTATCCAGAAAAGTCAGTCATGTCCTACCCTTCCATGTAAGGCTAAATTATGTCTTTCACATTAGTGGCTTCAAGCCTTCAACATCACTAATGTAAGAATGAAACTGATGATTCCCATGTAGCATTATTAAATGACAAATTTCTTTTAATAGACAAAACTTATTTTGATTCCGAATAAACTTTAAAAAAGGATATTTAAAACTGACAGAAAAATCCACCCACCTCTTTTCGATTATTCAAATGATCAAAATCTAGACAGCAACAAAGTATTCAATGTTGCGCATGAAATGACTCGTATTTCATTAGCTGTGGGCCTAAGTTGTTTTAGTATACTCAAAAATATATGAACTTACGTTATCAGAAATGGTAATACTACTTTTAAAACAAAGATATTTCTGAACCCAATGAATTAAATAGAGAATAAGTTATCCTTATTTAAGAGGACATGTATGATGTACCCCAATACACAATCCATTTTTCTGCAAATATTCCCTCATTTGGTTCAAGACATAAATTAATACTCAATACAAACACGAAAGCTGAAATCCAGAAAACATAACTTGAAATTCAAGCACTTATCAGATAAACATTTTTATTACACTTTTTTATGACAGAAAAGCCCAAAGTGCCATCAGTGCTTACTGGAGCTGAGATCCTTGACAACGGTGACGGGGCAAGGTGCGTGTGTCATCACGAAGTTGCTCACACTCCCCAAAAGAATCCTATTTCCATCAACCCACCAAAATAAACATTTTTATTACACTTTTTATGACAGAAAAATCACTGATTTCTTATCAAAATCACAAATAAATAGAAAAAAAAAAAAAAGTTGATACTTATTTCTTACCTTTTACCAGATCATAGCACCAATGAAGATACGAATACCAGTCAAATGCTCACTTCAGTCTTGATGAAGTATCCAATAATTCCAACTACCTACCCAGATAATAAAATAATAACTGATAAAATTTCGTAATAGCGTACATCATTGACTATGAATCTCTTGATTTTTTAAAACTCTCTTTATTTATGTCAATGTCATTGGGAGCATCAGTATGAGAAAAGAAATAACGTTTATCAAAAGTCTTTGTATGTGATTTTACTCGTTCACCTTATTGATCAATTTACATTAATAATACCAGAAGCTGAAATTTGGTTGACAAGTAGCTTCGTGTTAGGTGATCATCACCCAATAAATAGGCACAGCCTCCACAAAGAAAATTATTAAGTAGTTTTTTAGAACAAGTGGTTGAAGAAGAATAAAAATGGGTGAAGTGAAATGTGTTGGGGGCATGGGGAAGTCCGTTCAGTCGCGAATAGAGTTGCTTTGAAACTGAAAGGCGTTGAATACGAATACATAGAACAGGATCGTGTAACAAAAGTGCTTTGCTTCTCCAATACAACCCCGTTCACAAGTTAATTCCTGTGCTTGTCCACAAAGAAAGCCGATAGCAGAGTCTGAGTTATTCTTGAAATCATCGTGAGACCTGGAAAAAACAATCCCATCTTGCCCCAAGATCCATTAGCGAGCCATGGCACGTTTTTGGGTTAAGTTCTCGACGAAAAGGTATTAATATAAGGGATCATTTACCCTTTTGTTTAAATTTCTATGTTATTGTTTTATATATCCAGAGAAACTGATACATTCTGGCTTTTTTTTGTGGTTTATCATATGTATATAGTGCGTGCGTTCCTTTGGAAAGCTTGCTGGGTTCCAGAGAATATCCGAAAGGAGCCGTGGAAGAAGCATATGGGCACCTGAAAACACGAGAAATGAGCTTAAAGATAAGAAATTCTTTGGGAGAGAGAAGATCGGAATGTGTGATATTGTTGGTAGCTTTGTAGCCTTCTGGTTGGTTGCATTCAAGAAGCTTCAGGAGTGGGATTTTTACACAGAGAAATTTCCAATATTACATAAATGGAAGGGTGAGTTTCTTAATTGCGATATCATCAAGGAAATTTGCCACAAAGAGACAAATAATTGCCTTTTTCCGAGCCCGTGTTTATAACCACGGAATGGTTAGATATAATAAAGGTAACGTTACACCTATCTTAGTATTATCGTGTATCCTTGGAGTAAAATAATGTATCATGCCAACAGGGGTCGATTGGCTTGGTTTTTTTCTGGTTTCAAAATAAATAATACAATGCTCAATTTTCTGGTTCAGTTTTTGTTTTCTGGGTGGATTTCAATTTGATGGTGTGTAAAGTAAAACTAAAATAAAATCTGGGGCAGGCCAAGCTTTGCCTAATCGCACGTGTTTGATAGCCTCCATCACATAGCATTCAGGACTTTTCTGTTTGCTTTAAACTTAAAATAACTTCCAGGAATAATGAAGCTAATAGGGAGATAAAAATTGTTTTTTTTTTTTTTTTTTTTTTTTTTTGTTTCCCCGTTTATGCATACTATTAGGTCCAAAAATCATTCCCGGCCCAAGGAGAAATGGGCCCAACAATGGGGAAAAGACTAGGCCCAATCCCTATGTGGTCCAATCCAAAACTCACCGAATCAGACCCATTTGATACGAAGTACAATCGGCCCAAGCCGTCCGAATACAAGCCTCCTAGTCCCAGTTCACTTCCTGGATTTAGGAACAATTCAGAGCCCATGGCCACTCACAATCACATTCCTATCAAACATAGGTAAGTAGCCCACTACAACTTCAACTCCTCCAAGGTCCGTATCAGAGTCATACTTGGACTCCTCTTCCGTCGGATAATGGGACCAGAAGATTTATCCCGAGAGGGAACGATCACCACGAGGACTCCCAATCTCACCAGATTGGGAGACCAGACAGTCACTATTTAAATAGAGGCCAGCCCTCTCACAAGACAGATTACATTACACCTACAAACCCCAGAGTTCTAGCTTGAGAACTTCACATCAAAGCCGTAGTCACAGTCCTCGACTAGACTTCTGGTAACCTCTCTACTCCTTAGCCCTCACTAAATCAGCATTTCGCCTTGCTGACTTGAGCATCGGAGTGGTAGATCGCTAGTGACCTCAACCTCACGGGATCAGACCCTCTTTCCATCAGGTGGATTTTTTACTTCTACACGTACCTCACTAATTCTTCGGACCCTAAAACTAAGGGTCGATAAGAGCTTTAATGACTACCTATATTAGCACCTAAAGAAAACTTGAATTCAAGACCTCTTAAGTAATACACCCAAAAGTCCTTATGAAACTACTTAATCACCCAAAAAGTAATTAATGAAAATTGTTACTGACATTTAATAAATATATATAAGAGATAACAACATAAATTGTTACTGAACCATGGAAGAAGCATGTGGACACCTGAGAACGCTGGAAAATGAGCTTAAGGAAAACAGTTTTTGGAGGAGAGAATATCGGAGTGGTTGATATTGTGGTTGTATTGTCGCTAACTTCATAGGCTTCTGGGTTGTTGCATTCGAGGCTTCAGGAGTGGAGATTCTTACAGAAGAGAAATTCCCAAAATTACATAAATGGAGTGGTGAGTTTGTTAATTGCAATGTTGTCAAGGAGAGTCTGCCACCAGAGACAAATTAGTTGCATTTTTAAGATCTCATGTCTATAACCACAGGAATGCTTAGATATTAAAGGCAACGTTACACCTTATCTCAATATAATCAACATATTGTTCTAGTTTTCATATTTGGATATATAATGAAAAAAAAAACACTGCTAGTTTACAAAGACATAATGCTCTCATGTGGAGCCCCACAGCATGGACCAGGGCTTCAAGCAGATCACCTTATCCCCAGGCAGTTGACTGGTTATAAATCATGGTGATTCCTGTTATCTGTCTGACGTCGCTACTTTAAGAGCCTCTGGAAAAATAATATGTATCAAGCCATTATTGGGTCGACTGGCTTTGTATGTCGCTTCACATCAAATAATACACTCTTCAATTTATCATTTTGTTTATGTAATTATGTTTTCGGGTTTCAATTTCATTATCTGTGAGCAAGCTGAAATAAAAATTGGGCCAGGCCTAGCTTAGCTTGATTGCACCTGTTTGACCGACTGTCTCATGTACTAATCACAATCTAGAGACAGATAATGTCGTAAATGGGTAAAGTACTCAAATGCCATGAAATGTCTCTATTTGGAACTTGCTTTAGATTCTTCCTCATCGTCTTGCACACGAAAATATAAACCAAGCAGCATGTGCCATCACAAAGTTGCTTACACTCCCCAATAGTATCCTAATTCGTTTTCATCGAACACAATTGATCCTTTTTATGAAAGAACAATAACTCTTCAGATAATATATTAAAAATAACAAATGGGTAAGTACCAAATTGCTCATGAAATGTCTCATATTTGGAACTTGCTTTAGATTCTTCCTCATCGTCTTGCCACAACGAAAATTAACCAAGCAGCATGTGCCATCACAGAGTTGCTTACACTCCCCAATAGACCTAATTCGTTTTCATCGAACACAATTGATCCTTGTTGTATGAAAGAACAATAACTCTTCAGATAATATATTAAAAAATAACAAATCACCCTTGATTAAGAAAAAAGAGAGATAATCTGCACACCTCTGGACAGCAGTCACATAACAGAAGATTCTAGTTTCAGATCTTCATTCAACCATGTCTGACGCATCTACCCAGTTTTAGAAAATTGACTCTTCAAATTTCGTCATAGCTTACATCATCTTTGACGTTTCCCCTTAGAATTTTCAAATTCTTTTTAGTAATGTGCTAGAGCTTTAAAGATTCAAAGAAAAAATTGCAGTTAATGAAAGGTCGGTATCAAATCTGATTGGTCGACTTAATAAATACTAGTATACGGATAACCTTATCCCTGTAATGTAAGGTAGTAGACCCCTTATAAATCATGGTGATTCCTGAAATAATCTTGTAAGTCTGTCTGGTGTCGGCTACTTTTACAGCAAGTGGAAAATAATGGATCAAGCCAACATGGGCGGATTGGCTTTGTTTATCGTTTGAAATTAAATAATACAAGCTTCAGTTTTATCATTTTGTTTTTGTTTTCGGGTTTCACTTTTGATGATGTCTAGTACAATCTTTCAATAAAAATATGTCTGTGGCTATACATTAGAATGTAAATTACTTGATGAAACCAACATAAAAATAAATAATTAAAGATATTATAAACTTTAAATATACAATAAAATATATTTATAATAATAATAGTGGAATCAAACTAATTTGATTACTATAAAGAAATTATGACTTATATAAAGTACCTATAGCATCTTTTTGTATATTATTAATGAATAAAATTATAATTGAAGTACTCATGTTAGGAATAGAATAAGGGATTCTTTTCGGTTTCCTTCTCCAAGGATTGAATCTCTCATTCCTCCATTTTCAAGGAATGGGCATTCCCCATTACTTAAAAAACACACATAACCTTAATCTAGATGGAAATAGAATTATCAAGTTTCAGGTGATTAGCAGGGGAAAAAATGTATCTAGCTACATTGTCAAAAAAATAATATAATTTGGTTTCATTTAGCATCAAATCAGGGAAAGTTATTAGTAAATCTCATTTGGTTTAAATTTTTTTTTGAAGAAATTTTGACAGAATTTCATTATAAAGAAAAAGGTCATAATTAGATTAAAAAAATAATTGTCAAAATAATTACCTCCTCAAGGTTTGAGATAAGTACAAACATACCCTATAAGCTGGTTCCTTAACCATATAAGGACTACAATATCCTTTCTTTTCGGTTTTTATTTCTTCAATTTTTGATTTAAATATATAAAATTTGAAGAAATGAAAACTGACAAGAATCGGAAACATTGCTTCAAAAAATACTTTAGTATTCATATATTGTTATACTTTACACTCCCATTTTATTTTATTCAATTTGTAAATGGAATTTAATTAAATATAGGGTTTATAATTAAACAAAGGATACTATGGTAAAATAATCAATATTTCGGGTGCATTTGGTATTATCCAAAACCCTTGAATGTGTTTGTTGCTTTCCTCAAACTTGAGGAGGAAATTGTTAGATATTATTAGTTATATTTGTTAATTATTTATAATTTTAATATTATAATATTAATAAATTGTTGATGCGTGATTTTGACACTAACAAAATTAACACATGCAAACTGCTACTAATCTACATGTGAGGTGTTATGGGAGTGTTTGTGATGCAATAATGATAGATGTTTAAGAAAAAAAAAAAAAAAAAAGATTGATAAGAGAGATTTTAGTATGGTTCGGATGTTGTAAGTAAGTCCTACGTCCATTGTTATTTTATGATTCTCTAACTGTTTTCCTGATATCGCCTGTGACGCATACAAAGATGGAGTAATGTTTTGTTTACAGAGAAAAATAATGGCTTAAGCTCAAATGTATGCCTAGCCTCGTTATGCATTCATTCTCCTTCTCTTTCATAGGCTCTTGATCCTGTTATAACACGTGGAGAGTATCAACAATCTAAATATTTACTTGATAGTTAAGTTAAGATGGATGTTGATTATCAATGTGACTTTATGATAGCTTGTATTTCTCTGGCTCTTGCTGTTGTTGGATCCTAATTCATGACTGATGCCTTTCTGTGATTGGTAACTGATTTTGGCACAACATAAATAAAAAATTATTATAAAACAAAGACAAAAAATATCATTTAGGCACAATAAATTTAAGAAATTGAATCTCTTTCAATCCTGATTTAAACTAATTTTTAATTGTATGTATACTTAACATGATACATGTACTTCTTCTTCTCATTTGATATATATGTACTGTATAAAACTCTTCGCTCACCGAAGTTTACAACAATAATGATCAAACATAATAAAATGTTAGAGATGAAAATTATATGAAAGATTACAACTTAGGAAATAATGGAGATAACAGAGAGTAAAGATGATGGCGTTTCAGTGGAATAAATAATAATATCTATAACAGTAACAAATTGGAACGGGCTGGTTTGAGCCTATTATTTCAGTTTAGGGCGAATGGCAGCCCTGTCCAATTTATGAAGGTAAATCCGATTTTCTTCCTATAGATTGATCGGGCTATAGTGATGAGGGCTGCGGACTAGTTGGGCCGTGAAGAGGCAAACGGGCTTCAACTGTGGTAAATCAAGTACTATCTATATATATAGTTGGATCCAATTAAATTTCAGCAATGTTTATGGACCCCAAATCTCCTTCCACAGTTGTTTGGATTAGGCTGTTTGATTTTTAGTTTATGACTCTATGGTTTTCATATGTACGTTGTTGTCTTATTGGAATGTTTTGTTTGTTGTGGAATAGATGTTTCATTCTGGCAAAAAATACCCTTTTACCAAATACAGTAGCACCAATGAAGATATGAATACCAGTCAAATGCTCACTTCAGTCTTGATGAAGTATCCAATAATTCCAACTACCTACCCAGATAAATAAATAAATAACTGATAAAATTTCGTAATAGCGTACATCATTGACTATGAATCTCTTGATTTTTTCAAAATCTCTTTATTTATGTCAATGTCATTGGGAGCATCAGTCGAAGAAATAAAATAGCGTTTATCAAAAGTCAGTTGTATGTGATTTTACTCATTCACTCTTATTGATCAATTTACATTAATAATACCAGAAGCTGAAATTTGGTTGACAAGTAGCATTCGTGTTAGGTGATCATCACTCAATAAATAGGAACAGCCTCCACAAAGAAAATTATTAAGTAGTTTTTTAGAACAAGAAGTGGGTGAAGAAGAAAATAAAAAATGGGTGAAGTGAAATTGTTGGGGGCATGGGGAAGTCCTTTCAGTCGCAGAATAGAGATTGCTTTGAAACTGAAAGGCGTTGAATACGAATACATAGAACAGGATCTTGGTAACAAAAGTGCTTTGCTTCTCCAATACAACCCCGTTCACAAGTTAATTCCTGTGCTTGTTCACAAAGGAAAGCCGATAGCAGAGTCTGATGTTATTCTTGAATACATCGATGAGACCTGGAAAAACAATCCCATCTTGCCCGAAGATCCATATGAACGAGCCATGGCACGTTTCTGGGTTAAGTTCATCGACGAAAAGGTAATTAATATAAGGGATTCATTTACCCTTTTGTTTAAATTTTCTATGTTATTGTTTATATATCCAGGAAGAAACTGATACATTCTGGCTTTTTATTTGTGGTTTATTATATGTATATAGTGCGTGCGTTCACTTTGGAAAGCTTGCTGGGTTCCAGAGAATATCCGAAAGGAGGCCGTGGAAGAAGCATATGGGCACCTGAAAACACTAGAAAATGAGTTAAAACGATACAGAAACTCTTTGGAGGAGAGAAGATCGGAATGGTTGATATTGTTGGTAGCTTTGTAGGCTTCTGGGTTGGTTGCATTCAGAAGCTTCAGGAGGGAGATTTTACAGAGAGAAATTTCCAATATTACATAAATGGAAGGTGAGTTTCTTAATTGCGATATCATCAAGGAGAATTTGCCACAAAGAGACAAATTATGTGTCTTTTTCCGAGCTCGTGTTTATAACCACGGAATGGTTAGATATTAATAAGGTAACGTTACACCTTATCTAGTAGTATCGTTATATCCTTGGAGTAAAATAATTATCATGCCAAAAGGGGTCGATTGGCTTGGTTTTTTTCTGGTTTCAAAGTAAATAATACAATGCGCAATTTTCTGGTTCAGTTTTTGTTTCGGTGGATTTCATTTGATGGTGTGTAAAGTAAACTAAAATAAAATCTGGGGCAGGCCAAGCTTGCCTAATCGGACGTGTTTGATAGCCTCCATACTAGCATTCAAGGACTTTTCGTTTGCTTTAAACTTAAAATAAACTTCCAAGGAAATAATGAAGCTAATACGGAGATGAAAAATTGTTTTTTTTTTTTTTTTGATCGCTTATGCGTATCTCAATTAATTTTTCGGGACCTAAAACTAAAAGTCGAATAAGAGTTCAATGGCTATCTTTATTAGCATTCAAAGAGAAACTTGAATTCAGGATCTAAATAATATACTTAAAAGTCTTTATCGAACCCTTGATCACCCAAAAAGTAATTAATGAAAAATATTACTGAACATTAATAATATAATAATAAGAGATAACAACATAAATTGTTACTGAACCATGGAAGAAGCATGTGGAACCTGAGAACGCTGGAAAATGAGCTTAAAGATAAACAAGTTTTTTTGGAGGAGAGAAATCGGAGTGGTTGATATTGTCGCTAACTTCATAGGCTTCTGGGTTGGTTGCATTAAAGAGGCTTCAGGAGTGGAAATTCTTACAGAAGAGAAATTCCCAAAATTACATAAATGGAGTGGTGGAGTTTGTTAATTGCAATGTTGTCAGGAGAATCTGCCACCAAGAGACAAATTAGTTGCATTTTTTTTCCGATCTCATGTCTATAACCACGGAATGCAACGTTACACCTTATCTCAATATAATCAACATATTGTTCTAGTTTTATAGGGTCGATTGGCTTTTGTAGTCGCTTCACATCAAATAATACACTCTCAATTTTATCAGTTTGTTTTTATGTAATTAGTTTTCGTGTGTGAGGCAAGCTAAATAAAAATTGGGCCAGGCCTAGCTTAGCTTGATTGCACCTGTTTGACAGACTGCTCATGTCCTTATCCAGAATTAGCAAAAAATGCCCAAGCTCTTTTTGATCATTCAAATAATACAATCTGAGACAGATAATGTCGTAAATGGGTAAAGTACTCAAATTGCTCATGAAATGTTATATTTGGAACTTGCTTTAGATTCTCCTCATCGTCTTGCACACGAAAATATAAAACTAAGCCGCATGTGCCATCACAAATTGCTTACACTCCCCAATAGTATCCTAATTCGTTTTCATCGAACACAATTGATCCTTTTGTATGAAAGAACATAACTTTCAGATATATAGATTAAAAAATACAAAATCACCCGTGATAAGAAAAAAGAGAGAGAATTTGCACACCTCGGACAGCAGTCACTAACAGAAGATTCTAGTTTCAGATCTTTCATTCAACCATGTCTGACGCACTACTCGTTTTAGAAAATTAACTCTTCAAATTTCGTCATAGCTTACATCATCTTTGAAGTTTCCCCTTAGAATTTTTCAAATTCTTATTTTTTAGTAAGATGCTAGAGCGTTAAAGATTCAAAGAAAGAAATTGCAGTTAATGAAAAGTGGTATCAAATCTGATTGGTCGACTTAATAAATACTAGTATAATGATAGTAGGTGAGAGTGAGGCTTGGTTGCTAAGTAACAAACCTGATATCAGGATAAGTAGGCGAAAGCACAGAAAACAAAATCCAACATCTCTTTTTAGTCCCATTGGTGATCGAAGAAATTAAAACCCTAAAAATGGTTGAAGTGAAAGTGTTTGGGTGTGGGCAAGTCCATTTAGTCGCAGAGTAGAGATTGCTTTGAATCTGAAAGGCGTTGAATACGAATACATAGAAGGGATATTGCCAAAAAAGATCCTTTGCTCTCCAATACACCCCGTTCACAAGAAAGTTCCGGTCATTCTCCACAAAAGGGAAGCCGCTAGCGGAGTCTGCTGTATTCTTGAATACATTGATGAGACCTGGAAAGCAATCCATCTTGCCTCAAGACTCTTTGGGCGAGCCATGGCACGTTTCTGGGTTAAGTTCATCGATGAAAAAGTAAGTATATACAACACTTGTCAGCTCAGGGACTCGCCTTTTTTTGTTTATTTGAAACAAATTGATGTAAAACGCACTAAAAAACTGCTTCCTTATTGTGGGTTTTTTTATACAGGTGATGGCAGTATGGAAAGTCTCTGGAGCGAAGAGAAGACCGAAAGGAGGCTGTGGAAGAAGCATGTGAGCACCTAAAAACACTAGAAAATGAGCTTAAAGTAAGAAGTTCTTTGGAGGAGAGAATTTTGGAATTGTTGATATTGCTGCCATCTCATAGGTTATGGGTTGGGGTCATTGAAGAAGCTTCAGGATATGCTGTGAAGTTTTTTACAGAAGAGAAATTTCCATATTACATAAATGGAGTAATGAGTTTTTGAATTGCGATGTTGTGAAGGAAAAATTGCCAGCAAGAGAACAATTAATCGCTTTTTGGAGCCCGTTTTGCAGCTTCTTCGTAGAATGTCTATCTATATATGAAACTGTTTGCTTATAAACGTAACGTTATGTTACTGAATTTTGTAGTCGTTGGATTATGAGGTCAACCCCTTGACTATAATCCAAGGGCTACCGAAGAAGGGTAACATTATCTAGTGTCATAAATAGTCGTGGTTTCTGAAATAATTTCCGCTGTGGAAAACAAACGATCTAGTTTATGCCGTCATGACCCGTTGGTGTTTTGGTTTCAAATTAAATAATATAATGCTGAATATATGATTGTGTTTGTTTTTCTGGTTTCAATTTGATAAGTGTTAAGTAAACAAAAAAAATGTTGGGGCAGGCTATTTAACGGGATTTATCTTTTTGACATAGTTACCAAATATTAGCCGAAAAATTATGCCAGGTCTCTTTAGTGGGTTTCTTTGTTAAAATACCTGTGTACCATCCCACAGTGACCCATAGACTAATTCTATGTACTATCTTACAGTAATCCATGTCACAAGCTTAGGTAAATCATGGTCAAAAATATTATCTTTGCATCTAACAAAAAAATCGAATTTGGGACTATAAGGTCAACACTGACAACTCCTTTGGTTTACCCTTACCGATGGGCTACCATGGATGGTTATTACAGTATACTTGAAAGAGCTTGAAACGAGCATGATTCGTAGATGACCCGAAGTCCTGGCAATCGATGTTATTATTAATTTAAGGCATGAACTTTGCTTTGAACCCGGATATCATAATGGGAATAAGCAATGTTGTCTTCTTTATCCAGAAAAGTCAGTCATGTCCTACCCTTCCATGTAAGGCTAAATTTGTCTTTCACATTAGTGGCTTCAAGCCTTCAACATCACTAATGTAAGAATGAAACTGATGATTCCCATGTAGCATTATTAAATGAAAAATTGCTTTTAATAAACAAAACTTATTTTTGATTCCGAATAAACTTAAAAAAAGGATATTTCAACTGATAGAAAAATCACCCCTCTTTGATTATTCAAATTATCAAAATCTAGACAGCAAAAAGTCGACAAGGTAAAGATTCAATGTTGCCATGAAATGACTCGTATTTCATTAGCTGTGGGCTAAGTTGTTTTAGTATACTCAAAAATATATGAACTTACGTTATCAGAAATGGTAATACTACTTTTAAAACAAAGATATTTTGAACCAATGAATTAAATAGAGAATAAGTTATCCTTATTTAAGAGGACATGTATGATGTACCCCAATACACAACATTTTTCTGCAAATATTCCCTCATTGGTTCAAGACATAAATTAATACTCAATACAAACACGAAAGCTGAAATCCAGAAAACATAACTTGAAATTCAAGCACTTCTCAGATAATCAGATTAATGTAAATCAAAGCCCAACAAAGTGCCATCAGTGCTTACTGGGCTGAGATCCTTGAACGGTGACGGGGCAAGGTGCGTGTGTCATCACGAAGTTGCTACACCCCCCAAAAGAATCCTATTTCCATCAACCCACCAAAATAAACATTTTTATTACACTTTTTATGACAGAAAAATCAGATTTCTTATCAAAATCACAAATAAATAGAAAAATGAGAATAAATTCCATACCTTTGAACAGTACCAGTCCTCTGCTTCCCATAACAAGAGAGTCCAGTTCAGGTCTTCAATAGCTTCAAGTATCCTGTCTCTGGCGTCTCCCCAGTAAATCTTGGTCACAACTTTCACTACAATCACGTATCAAACAAATAAGAATAATTAGATCTTATGTTGATTTTTTATTTCTTTTTTCACTTAAATCGATTTGAACAGTGCTGGCCATCCGGACCATGACCATAATATGCAAAACATTTAAACAAAAAAAAAGGGACTCAGTCGGTACAGCACCGGATCCATATTCATCCGGTAGATTGACATCATGAAATGGTGATTATCAATCTCATAACGTACCGTAATAACCAAAAAATCATAAATCATAGATCATTCATATTAAAAAAAAAAAAAAAAAAAAAAAAAACCTCTTCTGTCTGGAAGCAGTGTCGAGCGTGTCAAGCACATCGATGTCAGTTTAACACCGTACTTCTTCATAATCTCAGGCTCTCTGAATCGGTCAAAGGAATAAGAGCTGCAAAATCCAAGATCAAATCATCAAAACAATTACAGATCATGAAAATATGTTTTTTTTTTTCAGTCATAACAATAAAAAGATACGTACGGGAACCAGATTTGGCCCAGAGTCCATTGTGAGATTCTTAATAGAATGGGGGTTGATGTGGATGATATACAACGTCTCAGCCTTATCTGCCAAATTATCAATCGCCCATTTGAGAGCGTTCTTGCTGCTCTTTGAGAAGTCCATGGCCACCAACCTTTTTATCCCGACATTGTCGCTCTCTCGCTTTAGTTTTCTTCTTCTTCTCTGTAGATGATGTTGATGTTTTGATCTCGCCCTCGTTTTCAGTCAATAAAAACAAGCTTCTCTATGAAGGTTAAGATATAAAAGCCAAATTTCTCTGAACTGAAAATGGGTTTATAAGCCGGATAGCCTTATGGAAATCTCTGGTCTGCTACACCTGTATTTATTTAAAAGAAGACAAAATATGGTATAATCCGGTGTTGCTTTTGTAGCAAGTCACACTGATAAATTAATCTCACGTCCACGTATACATTTGAATAATTAGCGGTAGATTCGGGAGTTATTTACTTAATTACCTGATAATGTTTGCGTATAGGGCCACGCAATAGGTCCACTTCTATAGAATAATAACTTAATGAAAAGTTTAGTTCATTCATTTTACAACGCAATTTGAAGGAAAAAATCAAAGAGAGTAGGAAGCTGCTCTGCACCTTCCCTTGTCTTTGTCATGTTCATATTGATGTATTATTTTTATTATAGGATAAGTGCAGGTATGAAATCGCAGTCGCTTACGCATTATTCTCACAAAACAAATTAACTTTAAGACATATAATAAAAACAATTATTGCTGACAGATTATGATAAGGGTGGTTATGGGTTCTTGGATTCTTATTAGTCCAAATAAGGCAACTGATCATCCAAGGAGATCGTGAAGAGAAAAATAATTGTGAGATAAATAATATAGGAATAAAATAATACTACATTAAGATATAAGATATTTATGTGGTTTGATATAACTAATTTATAATTATAAATAAGAGAAATTTATTATAGTTTAATGAACATAATATATAAGAATATACAACACCATAAAACTAATATATAAAACAAAGCAAAAACATGTTAAGGTCCGTTTGTTTCGTTATTTCATATCCTATTTTTAATCATATTCTCAAGATAACTATTTGTTTTGTTAACCTCAAAATATTATTATATTTTCTTCAACCATATTTTAAATCCCTTAAGTTTATTAATTTAACTAAACACCCTCAGAAAAAAAGTTTAAAAATTAACAAAAACACCCTCATCCACTCACATTTGTCAAATTTCAGCCACTACTATTGGAAGGTGGTCGGAATCTAGTATAATAGTATACTACCGACTGGATCTGGCCAGTAGTATGCCGATCTATCATTTTCTAGCCAGATCCACGGCCAAAGATCTGGCTATAGCTGGTCGTCAACGACAGCCATATCTTTGGCCATCACTGATGGCCAGAAATGGCCAAAAAAGGCCATATCGGCACACAAATGGCTAGATCCGATCAGTCGTGTGCCGTCACGCCAGATTCCGACAGTGGTGGTCAGAATCTGGCAACTGTGGATAGGGGTGTTTTTGTTATTTTACAAAATTTTTATATATTGGGGTATTTCATGAATTAGCAAACATAGATGGGTGTTTTTGTTAATTTTCAAATCCTACCTCGTTATTCCCACCCAACTCTAAAAATATAAAAAATCATATCCAAAATACTAAAACAAACGGACCTTAGTTTCTAACTGACCTCAACCCAGTATCTTAAGTGGAAACAATCACAGTTTCTAAGATACTTTTCCCATGGTGTTTAATAACCTTTACATCAAATACCTCATGTTCTCACATTCTCTCATAACCTTATTTTTATAAGTAGGATATGAGATATTCTTTTCCTAATATGATTCATCTTCTAATTCCTAATAGGACTCTCAAATTATATTTCTATTTACAATTGTATTCTTTATTAAATAGTTTTCTAAAGATATACAATTTCACAAAACAACAAAAAGAAAAACGAGTCAAAAATATCCCAACAGATTATTGAGCAAAAAATTTCGAAACTGAGTTTTAATATTCGTATTAAGGGTATTTTTCAGTTCAATTTGGGTACGAAGATAGTAGTACTGTTTTGACCCGCATGTTACAGTGATACCATGAGTTTTGAAAGATAAAAAAGCCCAGGGCCTCTGGATTCATGGCTATGGAACACAAAGCCCACCAAATTCAATGGATTCGGGTGATCCTTAATGAACTCCCCTAGCTGGGCCGTTCATAAAACAAGTTTGGATTGTATCATTCTCAATTTAAGTAATGACAAAAATTTTCAATAAAGGTTGATTCTTAATATAATCTTATAAAATTTTTCTCATAACCTCGATATAATAATTCGTAATTAGGCAGGTGAAATCCATTGTGAGCTAGTCGTGAAATAAAGTTTGTAAGATTGAATTGTAAATGTAATATTGCCTTTTACCCTTTTTTTTTTTTTTTTAATTAATGCTACCACATAACTTGGGTGTTTATTCAATATGGGTCTCAGCAATGGAGATAACTTAGTTCATTCGGTTGCACATGCTGAAAGTAAATCATAAAGCTTTCTAGGAATGAAGCTCAAAGCACTCGACCAAAGTTTTTCTTTTGTGCATCCCGCAAATTTTGCTGATATTTAAGATTGAGAAACAGAATTTTCAATTAGACCCAAATAAAATTTTGAGTTAGGCTTCTTTCACTAACTTCCCAGTCAATCTGCCAGTTCATATTTTCAGTTTTCTTTACACTATATTACT